TCCCAACGTTTCTGCTGCAACTGCTGCAGCCAGAAATTCATCATCTGCTTGCTAGGGGCCTGGACATGCAAAACAAAAGAAAAGACACATGCAATTCATGGTTAACCTACAATAGACCAATAATAATGAACTAGCAAAGTTTCAAGTCCATGCACAAACACGACCAAAGCTGCACACGAGTCAGTAGTTATAGATGATCAGAGACAATTGACATCACCGAAAATCCAATAGCACTTAATAACAGGTGTAGGCTTAAATTAGACACGCAAAAAACCCACTTTAAATAGCTGTTTTTTTTTCTTTTCAGTCAGTCATGTGAATAGAAACAGACACTGGTTTCGGTCTCAGTTCAAGCCTCGGGCCACTCAGGAAGCTTCTGGGTAAAAAATTCACACCATCTGCTGCCAAACACTGTGACATTTTTCCAGTGAACCTGTCAGTGTCACATGATAACAAGTAAAACCACCACATGATTAGCTGTGACCCTGCAGATGAGAGGCGCGTAGATGAGGTCATGGACATTTGAATGAATCTAAAAATGTAAACAGTGGGACGAGTGGCAGAGAAAATGTGCTGACTCATCTCTTGTCTGGTAAACATGGCCTGTAGTCCAACAGGACTTCACAACCACCACATCTAACACTTCATAGACACAGACATCTGTATATATGTATGTGTATATATTATGGATCTTTTGGCCGAAAAACCAAATATTCTGAATATTCAGTGCATCCCTAGCATATATATATATGTATATATATATGTATATATATGTGTGTATATATATGTATATATATATGATTTTCCAAATAATTAAGAATCAAAACATTTACAGAAATTATGTCCAGTCAGCTGTCGAGGCCAATCAAGGCCATTAAAAATTATCTGCAGGGTGAAAGAACTCCTTCATAACATGGGTATCCACTGACCCCTAAAATTAAATTAAATAAAAAGTGACATTGTTGGCAACCTCGGCCAAATTGTTAATCTTAATATGTAGATGTGACAAAGTCCTTACTTCAGGCCAACTGTAATGCCAAGGACCCAACCACTTTCATCATGCAAAACATTACAGTGGAGCAAATAATTGAAGTAAACGTGAATTGCAGCACAAATTTAGTTGTTGTGTTGCCTTTCACAGAGCAGCTCTGCACAGGGCCCTTAACTATCTAGCATCGGCCCTGCACTAGTCAACGACTGGTCAGCGACCAGCAGACTGCATCCCTGCATTCAACAGGCTTCACCCCGCACAGCAACATTAAAATACATGAACGCAGCGAGGGGAAAGACAGGAAAAAAAGAGAATATAAATGTGTATCTATATGTCTATAATTTAAATGGGTGTGACTGCAATAAATAATGGGAAGTGACAGCTGACAGCAAAACAGTGCAGTAACATACGCAGAACACACGCATACACTGGAAGAGAGGAGGGTGAAAAAAGTTAGTACCCTGAGCTGAAACTCCTTTCCGGCTGTTCGGATCTCAAACTGCCCATCATCTCCCTCCACGTCGTAGCAGAAACAGGCGTCGCCAATGTCGATGTATCCCAACGGCAGAGCATCTTGTGGACTCTTGAAATAATATAAATAACACTTCCTCGGATCATACACGAACCACCGCGGCTTGAAGCCCCTCAGGGGCCCCTTGCCGGACTGTTTGTTCAGGTAGCCACACAGTTTGGGGGACTGCTCCTTCGTTGCCTCCACCTCGGCCATGTCCATGGACTTGGCAGCCGTGACCCGTGGGTTTGAGCAGGGGCTCGTCCCGCGGCCATCCTCCTCTTCATGCATCTTCTCTCCAACTTTGTCCTTCTTCGCGAAGCGCTGCAGCGGATGCTCGCTACTGTTTCCATCCGCATGACTGCCTCTTGCGCACAGGCTCATGGGAAATGCAGTTGACGAAATAAACTGGGTATAAGCGGCGGGTCGACCCTGAGCGGCGCTGTTTCACAAGAAAAGACTTGACACCCTGAGCCTTCCTAAATAATGCCTACGAGGGTTTGGTTTATCACGCAAATCTTTACAATGGGTCACGTGCTTCCAGAATTAATCACCGTTGATTGGTTTACAGGTCCTTTGTTTAGTTCATTTGTAAATATATAACGGGTGAGTGTAGTAGAGAGTGACGCTGATCAAAAGGCACTCATCACAAGGAGTTTCAGCAACAGCAGTTAGGCTGCCTCAATGGAGCCTGATAGTTTAAATTAATTAAATTGTTGACCATGTTACTTTGTACCTTGTCACTTCTCTGGAATGTATTTTGACATCTTTATTACAAAAAACTTTTTACATATTTGTAAAGGCCTTCAAATTAATCTATTTATATTTAACTTTACCTGATACTGGTTTAGGTTAATTTTCTTTCACACATTTATGCTGTTTTTACCAGCTTGAACTTTTTCTTCTTCTTCTTCTTCTTTTTTTTTTTTTACAAATTTGAGGTCATTAAGGTAAAGGGCCAGCATTTAATTATCTTTGCTTATGTTTTGGTTTCAGGCTCATTTTAATTTGGGTATACCTTTTAGCTATTTCTTAACTTACAAATAACACATTTTGGAATTTAAGCTATTTCTGTTTTTTAGTTATTTCACTGTTTGTCCACCTTCTAGCTCACTGTAATTCTAACTGGGTCCAGGCTGACATTTTCCAGTTATGCTTGGCAAACTTAAACTTAGTTTACTTAGTTTAGATACAGATATTTCAAGGAACCCTAATTTATTCATGGTGTGTAAAAATGTTTGTGTTCTATATTTGTGTCTGTGTGTAGGGCCTTCACTTTAATCATATATGGAGCTGGAGGTTGAAAGCTCTTACCTCCAATGTACGTATAGTATATAATGTTAAACAGAAAAGTAAGGTTAGACGTCGGCTGATTCTTAGTACCTGTTGTGCAGAGTTGCAGACCTGATTGTGTAATAATACAAAACACGTAGCCTGTGAGGTAAACAGTACATGGACTTGTACTTGAGGGTGCAAACGGAAAGTGAAGATTTATTTGTTTTAAATTATTGCAACACAGTGAGTGGAATTTAAAACCGCATCTTGCGTTCTTTTAGTCTATTATTGTCTACGTAAACTAGTACAGGTTGTTAGTGAAGATGCATGTTTAGATTCAGGCCTAATGGAAAATTTGTCAACGTGACAAACAACTTGTGACCTTTCGAAGAGCCACATCCTCTGTGCACTTCTTTGACCAAAGGATGTAAAAATATCTTCTGAGAGAGAGAGAGAGAGCTTTTTGGCGGTAACAGCGTAACAGTTGTATTGTTGTTGAGTAGTTTTTATGTAGTTACTAATTAAACTGTTGACGCTCTATTGCTTGATTCTTGTTTGAAGTGTTCACAAATCAAATCTTTTTAATTTCAAACAAAAAACTAGCAAACATACATTTGAAGCTTGTAGGTTAATTATCTTCATACCTTACACACAATCAAGTTACCATACCCTACTATTCTAATTATATATACACATGTATGTATTTATATATAATTTCCACTGGAGTCTAATACACTTTCCCATTCTTCTCTGCCACGCTTGCATGCACTCCTGGAAGGCTGGTCCAGCATGGCAATGTTCTTCTTGGCCAAGAACTGTCGAATGCTCAGGGCATTGTGAGCACGTCCATTGTCATGGTGAAGCAGCCACAGGTCGTCCTGCCACAACTCTCGCCTCTTCGCACGCACTGAACGAAGCAAACGCTCCAGTATCTAAAAGGCTGTGACTATGGGACTGCAGAGGATCCCAGAAAAAGCCTTCCAGGAGTGCAGGCAAGCATGGCAGAGAAGGATGGGAAAGTGTCTTAGACTTCAGGGGTACATTTTACAGGAAGTTTGTCACAAGTCCTTGTTGCAGCAAAACATGCAACTACCCGTTGAAACCCAGCAAAGTGCTAACCACAATCACACTGGGCTTCAAGTTTTAAATTCTGAAAAAAGCTCTTGCTATCTGTGTATGATAATATGCATTCGTAACAAAACATAGATATATGGTAAAAATTGTTCAAAATAACATAATAGCAAAAAGCATTTAATATTTATGAAACTTTGTTTATGTTTTACCTCACTCTTGATACAGGCCAAGGCCAAATGTGGCCCAGGGCCCTAACATGACCAGGTCTAATTTAAAGAAGACAATTCAACTTTTTCAACTTTTATCCTCAGATTCTTACTGTTATGTAAAAGTTAGTGACTGATGTTTAATTGGCACTACATTTATAATCACAGCAGTTAAAATCATATAGAGAAATGGTTTCTTTGAAAACAAAACAAATCAAATCAAATAAAGGAGTAGAAACTGAGTCAGGAAGCTTCTGAAGTATTTCATGTCCTGTGGTACACTTAGTCAAAAGAAATAAATGTATACACTATCTTTGTACGTACAGTATAAAATTACCATTTTTTTCATGAATACTAACACATTCACCTACTAATGTTTTAGATAATAGTGGAGAAATGTGTTGTTTTTTTTTCCGGGGGGGGGAGGGAGGGGAGAAGTATTTACAGTGAGTTTCATCCCGCTCATTATGACACACACTGTTCCTCTTATTGTTCTTCCCCCACAGGTTCCTACTGATCATCATGGGCCAAAACCTTGGTCAGTGACAGTAGGCAGCTGACAAAAGGTTAAATGTTTGCTATTAGTTACAACAGCATTATAAACATTGCTGGAAAACACCTAATTTAAACAGTGATATTGTACAGCAATCTTCCCATATATCTCCATTGCTTTGTTCCTATCAGGGTCACAAAACCCTAAAGATGAACTGGTGACGCAGCTTTGCTCCTGTGGGTTAAACATGTCTCAGAAAACTGCGCACTTGTGTAAACCACAACTGTCTGTACAGCTTCACTTTCCGTTTCTCTCCAGGAAGCTCTTGTTTGTTTTTATGCAAATGAGCTGTAAAAAAAAAAGCCATATGGTTGTCATACATCACTGCTTTCCAAGCCCACGGAAAAAGTGTGCCGCCCTAAATGTCACTTGTCTTTATCTGTCATGTAGGCTCAAACTTCCTCCAGAGAAAGATTTGATCACAGTCAAATGAGTGGTAAGAACGTGCCTGTCTTTGTTTGCTGAAATGACACCAGGTTCAAACCAAGCAGCCTCAGCCTCCAGGAAAGGTATGAACTGCATCTGATATTTTAACTTTACTGCATTTGAGCTACACTTCGAAAAACATTTTAAATGGCATTACATTTTATAGGGTACGGAAGAGAGTCCTGTTCGCACTGTGCGACTTACAGATCTGAAAACATCTCTGCAGAGTCAGCGATAAAAGAACGGAAAAATTCAAAATCCCCCTCTTTAACGAAGCGCCTGAAATTTTTATTCAAGGTAAGATTGAAATTTCTAATTTGTGTTAACACATAAAAGTATAAACAAACATACATATATACATATATACTTATGTATACACACATATATAAATATGTGTACAGTATGTATAAGTAAATATACATACACATATAAACCTAAAATGAATATATATTGTACTGTACTCACATATACGTATAAACATGCGTAATGTCAGTAAGTTCTAACACAGATATAATAAAGTTATTTGAACTTAATAATAAATACATATACTGTATGTATAATTATTATTTATATATATACATTTTTATTATTATTACTATAATTATTATTATTTTAGTATTATTAATACTACGCTAGTCACGCTAAGTCAAAAAGTTCTAAGACAGATTGTATAACTTCAAAGTTTTAATAAATTTAATAAATAAAACATATAAAGACTCAGTCGTGTACAAGTTTTATTACTTTATATTTTAAGTGTTTGGCAGGTTTAGGTTTTATTAGTCAACCTACCAAAGTAAACATTTACATTAATTTGATCATGAAATTTTAAACCAACTTTTTATAAAAGAAATCTATTCAAATAAACCCTTTGCAAACATCTAAGCATTTTAAATGTCATTTAAGTTCTGATTTAAATTATTTGTTGAGAAGAGGCGACCGCACTCTCTCTGACATGACTCCATCTGAAGATAAACAAACGGGTTCAATATCTGCCGCTTTGATAATGTTTGAAAATATATGGCTGTTCTCCTGATGCAAGGACTTGCGTTTATCTTTTCGCCAGGGTCGACTTACAATGGAGCCAATAATCGATGAACAACACACACAACAAGAGTCTTATGGTGAACTGACTCAGAGGAGCCTCAGAGAACTGACGTCCAAGTGGTTCGTGGACACCCAAACTCCCTACATTGTTCAAAATGGCTTCTTCCCCAGTTGGTTCTGGGGTTTTGTGTCTCGATAGTAAGTACATATAAGAAGAGAAAAAAGGTTTAGTTTCATATTTCAGTTTACTGTAAAAACAAATATATATATATATATACATATATATATATATACATATATATATATACATATATATATATATACATATATATATATATACATATATATATATACATATATATATATATACATATATATATATATATAGTCATGTTTAGTGCACAGTGATCTGTGATCACAGCTGCATCTGTCTTAAAAGGAGTGAAAAGGGAAGTAAATGTAAAAAACAAAAACAAAAACAAAGATCAGGACAGTAAAGTTTGTTTAAAATAGAAAAAAAAGACGGTTCAATTTCAGTTGGTCAAACTTCTGCATTCAGTGCTCCAAAAAATACAGGTTTAAAATAGGTTAAGGGTCTGTTGTTAACCTGCTTTTGTCTCAACATTTTTTTGATACGACTAAAAAATCTCAATTAATTTTTCTTGTCTTTTCACCTAAAAAGTTAAGACGAACTTTCCGTATTTTTCCGTCAGCGGCCTCTGATCTACACTTAGATATAAAATAAACAAATCCAATTAATTTATTGAAAACTATGTCTATTTATTAATATGCAAAAAAATAATAGTTTTTTTTCTTACATCAAATTATTGGTTCTGAGCTCTTGTTACTATTTCCACAGCGATGCAGAAGATATCCTCCAACATGAGGTACAGGGCTGTTTCCTGGTACGCCTCAGTGAGAGAGTCGTTGGGTACATACTGTCCTACAAGTGAGTGTTGGGTTATTCCAAACAAGCTGTTCAATTATTGTAAAGTTGCCTCTATTAAAAAAAATAGTAAAGAATGCTAACAATCTTTTCTTCTCCGGTGCAGGGGCAGGGATCGCTGCCGACATTTTGTGATCAACCAACGTGAAAATGGACGGTTTGTGATCAGCGGAGCGAGTGAAAGACACAACACTGTACCTGATGTGGTAAATTACTACAAGACACACCCGGTCCAGCCGTTTGGAGAGTATCTGACAGCATCATGTGCTGAGGTGAAACCAGTGGTAAAAGTTGAGTTTTTTTATAGCTAGTTTTCTACTTTCTAAGTCTATTTACTCTATGTTTTTAATTCCATGTAGGAACAAACTGAAGAGTTGTACGATACCATCACTGTCCCAGAACGAAGAAGACTGGCGACAAACAGACCCGTGAAGAATAGACAGAAACAGCAGAACGTCTTTGTTCAGACCCATACACAGATGCAAAAATCTAACGCCAAGGTTCGTACACGGGGCTCTAAAATGTACTTTAAAAACAACAGCACTTTTTTGTAACAAGTTAAATAAGCTATTAATTGCTACAAAAGTTTTAAGGTAATTTTAAAAATGTTGCTATATTTTTGCCTCGTCGGTTTTTGCTAATTTTGTGTTTGCGAAGAATCTTTGAATTGAATCTTCAAACCTTAAATTTTCTGACACTTAACAGTAGAATTAAATACGCATTTGCACATTGTTCTTCAGATTATAACTTCATATGGTAATGTTTTAACTAAATCTGAATTTGAAGATTTTTTTAAGATTCCTTTAATGTTGACCTCTTGGTTCATCTGAAATTTTAACAAAATACGTTTCTTCAAGTAGTTATAAACCACTTAGCTTGTTGTGTTGAACAGGAAATTCCACTATTGCCTCAGAGAAGCAGAGACCTTCAGAGTAACTTCCTGAACGACAAGGACAGCATCTTGTATGCACAGCTCCGGAAGAAATCGCCGAGGGAAATGCCTAAATTTCAAACCAACTCTCTGTATCAGTTACCTGATGAAAAGGCCAAGAGTTCATGTACGTGGGATCAGAGTCTGAGTCACTGTAGATCTCCATCCAAATCCGACACCCTCTACTCGGAGCTCAGTAGAAGCAGGTCCCCCATGAAGTTCAGCTCTGAAGGGGAGCAACATTACAGACTGACTGAACCTCCTGCTGTTCCACCAAGACTCTCCTCTATGCCCAGAAAACCAGTTGAGAGCTTTGTCCCACGCTTGGAGAAAACAGACCCATGCCTACCACCGAGCGGCCTGGGCTCCGTGGAAGAAAGTCACATTTATCACCTCGCATGCAGCCCATGTAATGCAGTGACAGAGGGTAGTTCACTGGCGATGGAGGAGCACAGTGATTCAGTGTATGATGACCTTGTCCACGAAGCTCCTTTCAGCCGCTTCCCAAAAGACAAAACCTACGAGATGATGCCAGGATTCAAGGACGCAGTTCCTGAATTCTTCAGCAACGTTTATGAATCCTTGGACAATGTGTGACCCAAGTCTTTTAAGGTTAGTACTGTATTAAAATGTGTTTTAATTATAAAAAATATATATAATTATCCTGAGACTGACCTGACCTTTATCTCTGTTCATAATAAATCTCCTGCAGAATGACAAAAAGAAGTGGTCGCTCCCTGAGGCCAGGAGGAAATGGTAAAGGGGGTGAACTCACTGATGCAAACTTTTTTTCATAATCACTACACTGTGGCTACTTTGTTATACATATAAACGCATACTGTATTTTTTCACTTAAATGCTACTGTATTTATTCCCCTAACAATTCATAATAAAAGGAACCGCATGACCAATCAAAGTATATTCATGACTCAATTATAAATAAATAAAAAAGACCCAGATTCCTGACCATTTCTAAAGACCACAATACAAACAATTTTGGATGTACAAACGTGACATGAGACACGGCTTGAAAAGATATCCAGTGAAATGTTATTGTGACGTACATGTTTTTAGAAGTGGGCTACACTTTGACAGAGTGATCTTGCCT